CAAACTGACAAGGCTAATACATGTAACACTAAACAACTCAAAAAGCAAAATCAAGATTCAGGGAGAATATTCAAGGGAATTCCATATTAGACGAGGCCTAAGACAGGGAAACTCACTGTTTTGTACTGTTGTATGCTCTTTAACCTAACAATAGAGAGAGTTATTAGAAACATACACATTGACACTCAAGGAATGATAACAGGATACTTTCTGAGAGAAACTCATGACCCACAACCAACGGGCACACTCTACAACCAACCACTTCAGTATCTTGCATATGCTGATGACAAAGCACTTCTAGGCCTATAAGAGACACCTGAATTTTGGAGGAAAAAAAAGTGCGTCTTGTAGTCCGTAAAATACGGTAAGTCGTGAATATCTATAAATTTATTTGGATCTGATAACAAAATTTTCCCATTGCACATAAGAAAACATTAATTAAAATAAAACTTACCCAACATTGGGAGGGTCAAAGCGTACTTTGGATTTGTGATTTACATTGATGAGCTGTGTATTTTCTACATGTAAAGGATGACAGGCATCATCATTGGTTTTACTAGTAGTCACTGCATAATCAGCGCCTCTTGTGCAGGGATTAAAGTTAACAAATTTATTACCTGTCAACAAAAAAAAAAATGTTTAAATTAGTCTAACAGGAAATTCTTTAATATTTTAAGCAAGCATTAAAAATATTTATCAAAAACGCAAAGGAAATCTCTTCCAAAAGATTTTATCTTTTTCAAAGCCAAATTATTTTTTAATTACAGCAACATTAAATATCATGACAGCATGGAATTGTATTTGTTTCTTAGCACTATTTAAATAAACATATTATACAGAAAATACAAAAGCAGACAAAAATGTTAATTTGTTTTTTTACTTTGATGTAAAAATGAAAGAAGCATAATCAAGTTGACAGTAACATTTGAACTTACTCTTTAGTTCTGTTCGTCCCTTGATTGAACCATAACCCATGATAGCTGTAAATTCTCGCGTTGGAGCCATATTAGTACTACTTGTGAATGTAGCTATGATAATACCAATTTTACCACAAGGTCGTGGGCGTCCTGCATATCTTATTACTGGGCTATATGTTAAAATTTCATCATTTGCATCGAAAACATCAAGAGTTTCAGAAAATGTTGATGTCTTCCCAACAAAAACATTATCATTGACAGCAACATATTTATCTGTATATTCATGGCTCACTGACGTAGGGCCCACTATCATTGGGAAGATACCAATGCCATTTTCTATTAAAATGCTATTCTTGATAATAAGACTTGGCCTATTGTTGTAGTAAAATCCATAATCAAAATTTTTCCAGACTGTGAAACCACTGTAAGTCACACACACAGAATCAGCAAGGATATCGTCTGGCGTCACGCTTACACCTATTGATGGCAAAGGAAGAAAGGATTTTTAACTTAATTCATCTTATAGAATGAAATGAATATAATACATCTAAAAATGTTTGCTTTGTTAATAGGCTTACAATTTGTTTAAGCATAACAACTTAGTTTTAAATATTTTGATACATTGTCTTTCATTTGTAAATCTAGATATAGAATATACATCAAAAGTGTAAAAAAAATTTAAATATCATAAACATAATTTGTAATAAATTCAACACAAAGTATCACATTTTCCATGCACAACAAAAAAAACGGATTTAAAAAAAAAAAAAGATAAATGTAGGTGAAAGGGGTCACTCTTTAACTTATTTTACAATAGTTAAATGTAAAGTTTACAGTTCTGCTAACCAAGTAATGTTCCCACCACAATATTTCCACTCCAGAGCAGATCCTCTTGAATGGAACATGGCTGGCCCCTCAGATGATAACCTGTCCTTTCTGCACCAGCAACAGTATTGTTGATAAGAACAATTTCGCTGGCCTTTGTTGCTTCAATGCTACCTTCAAAGTGGTAATTGAGTCCTTCTTTTCTATCCTGGTAAGTACCCGCCCAAATAGTTAGTGCTACTAGGTTATTGGTGATGATTGTCCTCTTTGACTCAGTTCTAATACCTTAAATGAACAGAGTATGAAAAAAACACAAAATAATGTGTCAGCTATTCTAAAGAGTAATGCTTTAAAATAAATTTATGTGTCTCTGAGTCTACAGTTCTTCACACTTGGACCTCTGTTACGTACCATTAAATGGTTTTGGAAATTTAATCTGTTTTAAGTTTTGGTTCGTTGGATGCACAATATGTAACAAAGGACTGAAAAATGATACTAAAGCTAGTGATAATAACAATAATAAAATTTAATCATACTATTAAGTTTATATAAAAATACAAAATCAAATATACAGAAATAAAAACTGTATTAAATTACAGCACAGCAAGTGAAAAATTAAAATCCTCGAAAGCTACAAATATTAATCCACACACATACAAACATTAAAATCTATTAAGACTCCTATAAGTTTATTATGTCTCATAAGATTCGTTTCTAGTAAATCTAGCAAATCTCTGCCGGCTGGGAAACCTGTCAGCTTATTTATAGGGAGGGAGTTAGAACCCTCCAGAAAAAGAAATTCTAGAAATTGAATCACCTGATAACATTCTTTAGAGCAAATTAGAACGTTAAACATTTTCCTAATCTAGTGAGCTGTGAGTAATGGTACAACGCTCGACATTTAATCGGTGACATCAATATAAAAACAAAAAATGAGGGAGGCAAGTGGTTGATGCAGAATTAAGTCAACATACGGGCATACAGGCTTTAACAACCTTTTCAACTCTTGTTTGATTAGAGAATGTTCAAGGTGTTTTCCTAAAAATAAATAGTACCAAGGCATTTTTACAAACTGCATCACAGTTTAGTTCAGAGAGGTAGTGAACAATTTAATGCTAAATAACATAAGTTTTTTTTAAAATGTATATTATTATCAATATGAGTGGTTACACAAAAGCTAGAAAGATGCCCTGGTAAAACAGCAGTACAAAATTTGTACTTTTACTAACCTGAATTAACAGTATTATGTATTATGTTGTCATCAATCTCTAGATCATCAATAGCAAATGCACCAATGGCAGTGCTAAAACCACTATAGAAAGTACTTTTTTTTACATAAGAATATCTAATTTTGCCAGGTGTGCTTATAACATCAATGTAGGCCAGTGAAAAACGGGGGTCAAAATTTTCATTGAATCCTTCCTGGCCTGTATGGTAAAACTCAACATTTGAAATCTGTGCAAAACCTTTAGAAATAAAATTTAAAAAAAAAAACAAAAATAATGTAAGGCACTAATGATTTTATAAATTATAATATTAAAATAAGAAAGTATTTTACATTAGTGAGTTTAAAAGAATACTACTGTGTAACCCCTCTGTGATGCATTCTGTCACAATGCAACCTTTTTTTTCTCCAATGAACATGAAAATAATTATTGTATACAAAATATATTCTCATACAACACAATAAGAAAATCCACTGAAACCATTTAAAAGTCAAATTCATATAGCTCACTAACCACAGGGGATTTAAAATTTTAAAGAACAATAATATCACCTATTTCCCTACATTTTAAAAATCCCAACCATTTTCAGACAGAATATTGTAAAACTCCATATTGACTAGACCCTGTTATTAAAGCAGTTTGAATTTAAAAAAGACTGAGAGCTAAGTACTTTGATGTAATGTTAGTCTATAAATAAAATGTGTTTCCAGTGTACTTAATAATTAAAAATAAAACAATAAATCTATTGATTGTTATTGAACAAACGCACTGATGCACTTTTCAAATAATTTAATTTAGTATTTTCCACTAATAAAAAGATTGTTTTTCATATAATTTAATCTGCATCCAAATAAATGTTTTATATCAACATTTAAAGTATAGCAATCTGTTGGGTTTTTTTTAAAATCTTAGTAAATTAATTGAATTTTGTTTGCAAAATAACGCTCTAAAATTTCTCACCACTTCGTTGATCATCATTATACATGGTTTGGCCCACAACAACACGTGCTCCATACGAATCTTTAATGAGATCAGCATATTCTTCACCTTCAATCTTGATGTGACGAGTCAATAAAGCCACAACTGCACGTAACTGAATAACTTGCTCACCCACAGTCAAAGAATCAGCTGAAAGCAAATGTCAAACTAATTAGTTTGAAAGTGAGTCAAAGTTTTATTTGACCCATAAATCATATGGAATCTCCATGTCAAACTCATTCAGTTTTGTGCAGCAAACAGACTTATTTTTTATCCAAGTAAGCCTTACTCTTTTACTTTTAACATTTAAAACTGAATTGCTTATACATGTTTGATCTACAAGGAATTAATAAAATAAAAAATCTTTCAAAATCTTTTTTTTTTAAATATATTGAGAAAAACATATTCTTTTCACCAATGTGTCTGTACTTTATTGTACTGTTGAGTGTTACAGTGTTCCCAGCAATGGAAGAGATAGAGAAGGTCTCTGTATGCCAAGGGTTGTAGTCAGTTGTTGTAATGAGGATGATATCCCCAGGAACCCAGGTAACATTGTCTGTAACAGTTATTTGGTTGCCTGAGTCAACAGTTGTAGCAAGACTAGTTTTGATAATGCCACGATCTTTGCCATGAAGCTGGAGTCCCCCAAACACACCTGACACATAAGTAGAAATAAATAATATGCTCATAAATATTATATAACATGAATTATTTTAGGAGCAGCACTTTAACTTTTTTTAAAATGACAAGTGTTCTCAGTGTGACACAAATAAAATCATAGTGGGCCAACCAAAAAGAAATTTTAAGTTACAATCAATTTGTAAGGTATTATAATGAGGGAATGATACTTAAAATCTCACCAATAAATCTTGAACCCAGCAGTGGGCCACTGGTAACTTGATATGCTAGTGTTGTGTGCATGCCCCTAACTCTGATGAGTAGATTTCCCTGGTATGTAGCATTCTGAGCCCATCCTGCAATGAGCCTGCCAGTAATATGAATGTATTCCACATCCAACGACATGTTTCTTGTTTCATTTGCCATAAACTCAAGTCCTCCTTCTATTACCACTTTGCCAAGCTTAGGAATAGGCTTGTCAACAATGATCCACTTGTCTTTAAAAAAGGAAATTAAAAAGAAGCAAACTGCCACAAATATGAAAAATCAGTTTCACTTAGGAAATATAGAAAGTATTTACTTAAAAGTATTCACTGTAACCTTAGTTAGGGAAATCTGTGCTAGAGTTAATAATCAATGAAATATTTAATTTGGCTATTTTTTAAAGTATGACTTTTAAGATATCACCCATAGTTATCTTTGATTTACCTCTGGGTATTGTCAAATCAGCCATAGGTTTTGGCTCCAAACCATCTGAAGTTATTGTGAGCCAAGTGTTATTACGTGACCAGTACGCTGCCGTTTTAGGCGTTTCTAGAATATCCATTGGATCCTGAGGAGCCTCACAGCCTCGATAGTAGCAGCGAGTGATACGTGTTTTGATTAATAAATCCTTTTCAGTCAAATACGATGGTGGAATGGCTCTTCTCTGGCGACTCACTCTCTTTACTGAAATCAAATCAATTTTTTAAATAAAATATATAAATAAAATAGAATTCAACTTTCTTTTACATGTTTCTGAGATACTTATTGCTTCCATCTAATTATGTTTCTCAGGATTCAGTTACTAGTGTAGTTAATTTGTACAAAATTTGTTATTTAATAAAACTATCCCTGTGGATACCAGTTGTGTATGGGATGGTGGTGGACATTGTCTCATTTATGATTAAAGCTAAAGAATTAGAAAGATGTGATTTGTAATCCTGAGACAGAAGGCAACCAGTAACTTTGCACACAAAAAACTCAAGAGATTAGATCCTTAAAAACAGACACATAACTAACTTACTTGCATAAGTGACTGTCTGGTTATCTGCATCATAATACCATTGCCCATGGTCAACATTTGACCCTGATAACATGGTTTTTGACATGTTAAATTTAACTGTTTCATCCATCATGAGTTCGTCCGGTTTCTCCTCAGTATGTTGGGAAAACACTAAATAGTTTTCAGACTAACGAGATTGAAAGATTACATAGAAGGAATAAAATTGGAAGATGATAGTATAGTATGGTAACATTAGCAGCAGAAATGTGAATTTTCAAAGGAATAATCAATTAGCAACTGTATACTTTGATGTGTCACTAAATAAACAAAGATAAAGTAAATGAGCAATTCAATGAAGGCCTGTTTATATTCTAACACAACTCTCAACAGCCAATAAAATATAAAAATTAAATTTTTAATCAAGCCTCTAGATATAACTTGTTGTCTCTAGAATGTCAAATGCACTGTATGGAGAAAATGTATATCATTTTAATTCAAAGTTGATAGTTATGTTAAAACAAGCAAAATCAATTTTTAGATTAAATTTGTGAACCATCACAAGTTTTTATATCCATTAATGATTTGCTATTTGTGTTATAAGACAACAAATTTAAAATTGAATACAGTGAAACCTGTGCATAGCCAAAATTGAAACAGAACTGTCCCTAACCCAACCCCAGCAAGAATTAATTTCTTAACCAAAATAAATTGCACATATTTTTGGGGGGATGTTTATAAGAGATTCATCAAAATCTGTAGGCTGCATGTAGATGTACATGAACAGTATGAAGAATTTTTAGATATTCATAACAGAGTCATCAAAAAAGTAGGCTAATGTAGATGTCAAATAGCTGCTTGAAGAATGTTTAAGCACAATATCACTTAGTTTTTATAATTTTTCTATGATTCTATCTATACATAAATTAAAATGTATGACACCTTGTTTGTTTTCTCATTTTTTCTTATTTCTAATTTTCCAGTTATTGAGCCTGATTATCATTCTGGATGAACCTAGAAATAGCACAGTCCCTGCAAATAGCACCACCTTCGTTTTGGTCACAGGGGTTTATGCTATTCACAATTTTCACTGTAATTATTTTGAAACAGTTCAAATGGCAGCCAGTTATTTTTTTAATAGTTACTAACTTTAAAAAATATATTTTAAAAATTAAACTTACATCAAATCCATACATAATGCTGTCATAGCTAATATTAATAACTCGACCAGCATCTTCAAATTTAAAACGGTAATAAGTGTTTGCCATCAGAACCACAGACCAGCCAAACTTATGTGTAACTCGTTCTACTGCATATTTGCTTTCAGTTGTACCAAATGAGCTTGTAAACAAAGCATTTTTTCCATTAACACTTGTTGGAATCATCTTATTAAAAGAAAACCTGAAAAAAAAAATATTCTAAATGAAACCACTAAAAAAAATTTTTTTTTTAATTTTAGGTAAAGAAATTGCCAAGGTTCATCAAACTGTTAGCAATCTAATCAAATCTCTTTTTTATTTTCAACTTTACTGTTTCCTCAATATATAATTATTTTTTAATAGAAATAAATTTCCTTGACAAAGAAATTTGTTGTTACTATTAGTTTTAGATATTTAATATATTTGCAAATATCAACTCTTCCAACATTGTTAATGATTCAAATTGGCATTATTGTTGAAGCTCATGCAGAGAAGTATCTGAGAACACAGTTATTTACTGAACTAAAATAAGCTTGATTACTATATTTCTCAAGACAACTTTTACAAATTACTCCAATCAAATTTATGAACAATGAAGAACAAACCTGATAAGGTTAACATCACTTGTACAAATTACTACAATCCAAATTTATGAACAATGAAGAGCAAACCTGATAAGGTTAACATCACTTGTACACACACATCCTGGTAGCTCAACAGACATTTCTGTGTTCTGTTTGCATTTTGTGCTGTCGTATGAAGGGGAGCATGGGACCACTCTGCTGCCAGCAGTGCCTGACAGTGTGCCATCCTTGTCATGAACAACTGCCTCTGATTCCCAAGCAAATTTCACCTAATTACAGTTTGAAAAAAATGCCAATGGGTACTACATTTGTTCTAAATGAAAAATAAAATTAAATATTTTATATTTTATGAAGAGTTTATGCATACGGCACTCACTAATTAAGCTCTTATGTTTAAGTTATTATTGTTTAATTGCTTTTTTAAAGAATCAGATAGCATAAACAATTTATGTGAAAAGTCACCCACAAACATATTTTAATCTCAAGTAAAGATAACTTTCTGAAATGAAAATGTTTACCAAGTTAAATGTTATGGTGTCAAATGTTTTTACTTTTCAAATGGGGAATTTCAATTTTATAAAATTAAAACATTTCTACATTAGACACAAGTTAAAAATATACAAATGAATATAGTGTGCCAACAACTGATTGTTGTAACCATTTTTAAAAAAAAGTATTTTTAGCTATTAACTCTACTGTACCTTATTAGGAGAGTCAACAAAAGTAAGTCCTTTTGTTTCCACAACAAATCCTCCACAGAATTCTCCACAAACTCCTGCAATACGAGTCCAAGATAAAGCTGCTCTCATGGGCTAAATTATTATAACATTAAAATTGTTATTTAACTTCAAGATTTGTGAATTCTTATTACACAATGCATCTCTGTAGTGTTAGTATGCTCTCAGGATTCAAAATTTATGGATTATTTCATTTAAACTTATTTGCTTTATTAGCTTATAGTAGGGGCTAAGTTAGTAACTAACTGCAAGTGGTGACAATGATTTTTGACAAGGTAAATAAAAAAATATTTTAAAATAAATTTTCAAAAATTTTCTTTCGAGGACAAATTTTTATGTGCATTAAAAAGTAGAAAGTAATTTTCTTAAAATTCAGTAATATTATGCAAAGAAATTATGTGCAGAAGGGTAGTAATGCACTCTTTGAAGCCAAAGGCTTCCAATTAAATGTAGAAGAAACATACATTTTAACTTTATGTTTTCTAACTTTTGAAAATATTTTCTGCATAGACTTTATGCAATAAATTTTAAGAAAATTATTTTCTTCATTTTAGTGTGCTTAAACTCTCTTTCAAAGAAAGTCTTATTAACATGTTTTAATTTATTTTGTACTTTTTTGCATGAAAATTTAAACTGTAAATTATCTATTCAAAAAAATTATTTTAAACAACAAATGCTTGCAAAATCCCGGTTCTAGTGATATAGCTCTTTAGCTAGGGCTAAAACTAATTATTCACCTTTTCTTATTCCCCCCCCTCCCCCCTTTTTTTCAACCAAGCATACCGAGCTGTAACTGAACTCTGTGTTGTCAACTAAGTGACCTTTCAGATCAGCAGAAGGAAGACTCAATCAACCGAAACAAATACATCAAGTATGTCAACAAGATAATTATGATCCACAAAATGGATATGCAACTAGAGAGAAAGGCTTAAACAATGGAACCAAAATCAAGAATATTAACTCTCACAAACCTTATTAAAGTTGTAAAACTTAACTCCCTGAATGAGAAAACCAGTCATGTATGGCACTACTACCCCTCCTAAAGTGCTGTTGCCTTCCAGCTTATCTTCATAGTGTGCTACAATAACACTATCAAAAACGCCTGGACCGTTATCTGCATCATATTGAGGGGGTTTTCCAACAATCAGTTTACCCTCAAAGCCAGCATTTTCATTATTTACTAAGACAAAGTCATGGAACTGAAGAGCCCCAATGTGTACACCTTCAGCACCTTTATTACAGTTCCAAGCTGTCAGAGAATAAAATTTGGCAGCCTGAAAGAAAAGCATTTGAAAAGTTTTAAAAACTGTGGAATCTTACTTTCATCCATCAATTCTTATTAGTCTGTTAGTTGATTTGTGTTATCAGTATTTGGATTTCTGACGCGTGAATCAACAAAATTACATTAAACTCTGAATAAATGTCTCATATTTGTGTGGTCTTCAGTAAATTTAAGACAACCACAAATGAGAAGTTTAATTGAAATTGTATCATCACTTTTACTTGCACTAGTTGTATAGATGCATGTTTTGAAATTAAATAAATCTTCAAATTGCTGAGGAATATGCTGCTTTACAATGTACAAGCATTAAAATAATTAAAATTATCAATTATTTAATTTACAACAAGTTCTTAATTTAATATTAATCAAATATAATTGTAAGCCTGCAATTTGAGTAAGAAGTGTAATTTAAAGAGAAAAGAATTTTGCACAAGAGAAAGACAGACTTGGAAGTGGGACATATTGCATTTACTTGATGTTCTTCAGACTCTTTGCAACTGCCGCCTTTTCGAGGAACATATTTTTCAAAAACCCAAAGTCCAAACCAACCAAGAGAGTGGGCAGTATTGTTCCTGTATTCTTTCAGAGGTGCTGCTTGTGGGCAAATATTGACATTAAATCCAGGACCATCAGGATGTTTGTGCATTCGGTACCAGGAACCAAAGTGTGTGCCACCGGCAACTGCATTGTGGCTTTAAAAAATAAAAATAAAACAAACCATTATTATAAACCTTTATTTTATCAATCTTTTTTCAAAACTATGAACATGGCACCTAAAAAATATAAAATTGTTCACTAGTAATTTTCTGGCCTCATAATTTTCAGATATTCTTACCGTATTGTATTGTTTGGATTGGTCACCCAGAAGCCAGCAGGTGTTATATCATCATTGCGTAGAGATGTGGAAGATTTTACAAACACAGCTAAGTTATATTGGAATGTGTTGCCTATCTCATCCCCATCCTCAAGGAAAAAGGCTCCACCCATGATATTATATGCAACATTGTATTCTACCTGAGAATGTAACATTTATGAACATTATATTTTTAAAAGGGCATCAATATAGCCTACCTTTTCTTTAAATTAAGCTTCATGATTTTGTGCTCAACTTTTGAAAAATAAAAAACAGTATAATAAAACTGAAAATGGTGAGAATTATCCAAATGAATTTTACTATTTTTACAAGTTTTAAAGCAAAGCTAAGTTAGTCTTATTGAAACTCTTAAGGGACTTTGAAAATAATCTAATCTTTCTGGTGTCCAATGTACTAGGCATTGAAAATATAAATAGCATTTATGCCATAATTCAGTGATCGTGAGGTAAGAGAGAGGAGACAATAGAAAATGAAAGAATATAATTCTGTAACACAATAATGTTGTTTTTAAAATGTTCACCTTCCTTTAAATATATAAATATCTATATATATGTATATATATATATTTCTGTAAAAAGGGTAATTCATCAATTATCATGGTCAGATGCCCCAAATTTTCCTCCATGTACTAAATCTGATATTTTAAAACAAATTTCTTTTGAAACTGACCAGTACATTATGAGATCCATGTATGTTAACAGCTCTGTTAAAACTCATATGTATGGCACAACCTCTGACAAATGACTCGCTCATGTTGCCATTCAGATGGAAGTGGATAGGGTATCGTCCAAGTCTGAAAGCTTGACCAGAGAAGGTCAGCTCTACATACTGGATGTGGGCCTGGGCTACCTGCAATACAGCAGACATGAAAGCAATTTTGCTTTCTCAATCTGAACATTTTTGGTTTAAACTTAATCATTGTGCTTAGAGAACAACTGAATAAATTGTCAACCATATTTCATTTTTACCTGTGTATCCTTCCCCATTTGATGAATCATAATGTGTGCTCCAAATTGATCAGAGCCAAGCTCTTCACCAAAACGGCCCTGAAAACAAGTCTGTGTAGCGAATTCTCCTTTAACATAAAAGAGTAAATAAAAGTGTGAATGATTTTATTTTTTATTTTGAAAATTAGCTCACAGAGATCATTTAATGCAATTATATAAGCATTTTTATTAAACCTTCAAGGATTAAATAACAAGGTTTTTATTTCTTATAATAAAAAATGCGATAAAGATTGACAATAAATAAATTTGAATCATACCTGTATCGAATCCAGCAGGACAAGCTTCTATTTTCTTGTCAAACTGTACATTTCTATGTCCCCTAACTACAATATTTCTTGTTAGTAGACCAACTTCTGCCCTGAATTCCACAGTCTTTACACCCCATTTACCAGACATTCCCAAATGAGTGTAGGTTAATTTATCCTTCAGAGTCACTTGATTATTTTTCACAGCCTCTATAGTTCGAACCTTATTAACAAACAAAGATATAATTAAGTTATGTTGATGTGTGTTAAGTGTAAGGAAATGTGTTTGTGTATGTGTATGGGGAGAATATTTTTGATGGTCTTTAACTCATTTTTTCCCCTCCTAACCTATCAAATAAACAAACAAGTTATTTGAAGCATAAACTAAAAAGTAGCGATGGCAGGCAGAGAATAACATAAAAATAAATATTTATTGGGCTATAAAACTTCCAACAATTAATTTTTCACCTATTGCATAAAATAGCAATTGATGAACCATGGCACAACAGTGTATTAACTTGGCACTGTTTTGTTATCAAGCCTAATGTTGGATACATTGCTCAGCAATATTTGATCCTGGACAATATTAATTTATTTTTGAACAATATCTAATTACTTCTGAACAATATCTAATTACTTCTGAACAATATCTAATTACTTCTGAACAATATCTAATTACTACTAGGCAATATTTCTTACTCCATCACATACTTGTGTTAATGCTAGTATATATCTTTAGAATAGATATCTGATGAATTCTCTAAACATCAACATTTTGATGTGTTATATTATTATTCTATTACACTACTACAATTCTTTGAGTTAACTATTTTTGTGTCCTTCTAAAACTATCAAGGGAAATATAGGGAAGACTTCGTTCAGGTTGAACCAATTATAAATATAGACAGGGTAGAGGAAAACCTAAAGAAGGACAGTACAAAAAAGGTGGATGTTTTTGGGCCAATAAGACTGCAACAGCAAAAAAAACAGAGACAGATAAACATAAATTGTTTGGATATGTAGTTGATAGTGTAGTAAAGTGATAGTGGCTACCTGAGGGTGGAGTGGAGTGTGAGTGTGACACACTTTTACACCCTGCTCGCGGCACCACAAAAACTGTAGCCTCGTCGTGATGTGAGGCTGACAGTCTTTTTGAATTATGTTTTTTATGTAGAAACTTGAGAAAAATCAGGTATTGAGGACTATAGCTTAATTTATTTCCTTGACAATGACACAGAAAAATATACAGACAAGGCTAAAGAAGAAGTCTAATATGAAGAGTACAATACAGAGTGTCCAAATGGGCCGTAGTTAAAGAAGTGCGCACTTTAGGGATGCGTTGAAAACTTAGAATCAAAAACTCATTAATGCATGCCCTATAAGTAAAAGTGTGCAGATAGACCAGAGAGCATGTATGTCACACTACGACCAAGACCATCTCTTACTTGCCTTCTGGCCAATTTCCTGTATTAAATTAACAATCTCCTAGAGTATGCCTGAACAACTCAAAATGTAAGACGAGCCATAATACTTTATGAAAAACTTGTGCGGGCCAAAAGAAAGTAGGACAGGGGGGAAAGCAATTAATAATAATAAAATTAGAAATAATAATAAAGAAAATTTCGTTACTTCGCGGGCCACAAAGTGGGTGCTGGCAGGCCGCAGGCTGTATGTTGTGCAGGCCTGCCCTAGAGACTCCAACCCAAATAAAAGTCAAAATACATGGCAAAAACCCAAAAGACTTATATGTGCCTGCTCCCGTTTTGTTTCAGCTATTTAAGATACACTTTAATATTTCTCTAAGTTAAATTGTTTTTGAGATATTTTAAATAGAAGGAGTTGGACCTCCCAATGGATGAATGTGAAAACTACCTAAATTGCTTAATATTACAACACCCTCCAAAGATGTAGAATTGTAAATATACTAAGGTATAAGCTGTATCATCCAATGATGTTCCCTTGGGTTCTCCAGCGGCGTGGAGAGAGGCAATTTGCTGTTGGGAACCAGCTTATAATCCTTGAAGAATAATCCAAGGCCATGTGGTTTCGTCCTCCGAAGCCCACTCCATCGTCACATTGTGACGGACGGATGTCAGCAAAAAAAAAGGTATAATGAATAAAATACCTTTTCCAACTCGATATAATTCATAGCTTAATACACTTGGGTTCCCGAGAAATAAATAATTGAATTTGAACCAAAAGTACACATAGTGGTTCCCAATATTTAAGTATTCTACACAATGGATAAGAAGCCAGTTATCTGCATGTTATGATACCCTAACCCAGAGGTCAAATTTCAACATTGTGTTGGGCGCTAAACATGGTTCCATAATAGCGTGGCCTACACTACCACAATAGGAAATCCATTTGCTATTAACTACATATTTATATGAGCTAAGTTTTCTGTCTCTTTATTTTTTCTGTTAGAGGCTTCTTGGCTGAAACATACATTTTTTTTTATATTCCTTCTTCAGGTTTACCTCTACCCTGTGTATTAATCTTAAAATTATACGATATCAAAACTTCAGTTTCAGTGGAAAATGAAAAGACCCTGGATTACAAAATGCTTTTCATTACAATCGTTGAGAAAGCACTTAACATGAAGATATCTCATTGAACAAATTATTGAAAGAACTTACCTCAGATTCCTTTTGGCTGTTTCTGTCCCCAGTTGTTGCTATGACTATGCTGTCCCCTGGTTTCCAGTCTACAGAGTGAATGAGTTTCAATATTTTAGAGCCAGCTGTGGCTGTCTCTGCTAGGCGTGTCCAGACTACAGTAATAGGATTTCCTAAAGAAAAGCAAGTTTTGTAAGTGAAAAGGAGAAAGTGTGAAAAATGCTGTGTTGTCTTCAAATGTTTACGTAGATTAAAATGCAAGGATAAAGATTTAAAACAGGTAATACCATACAAATTGAGAGTCCCCTCTCTCACTGCAATTGTCTTAGTTCCATAGATAGGTAATTCCTTTGATCTCAAATGACCATGCAAAGTGATAATGGCTTTGTGTTGTTTGGGAAAAGGTGCTTCTGCTGTTCCAATCTAAAAGATATTGGAATACACATAAACTGTATTAGGACATGAATTTAATAAGCTGTTTTTCAAGATACAAGACAACTGGTATCAAGTATTCATAATATCTTTAATAATGTCAAACCCTGACCACAGTAACGAGACCAATGTTTTTTGGGGTTTTTCTTTGTTAAAAAGACTTATTGCATTGTGAACAGAACTGTTAGTGTAAAGTTAAAATAGAATATTTCTTTTAATTTTTAGATGTGTCAGATATGTTAAGGGAACAGTTTAATAGCATAGCCTCATTCATATATATGTTCTTTTCTTTCACTTTGAAAGGCATAGATTGTGATGCCTGACTGTCTTTAAATAGCAAGGTAACTAATATTTTGTAATAGCATAAGGTAATGGCAACTAGTTTCATTGAGGTAACTGCTTCATAACATCTTAATCAGATTGCTAATGCAAAAAAATACTTTGTTCAAAGATAACTTTCAACACCTTTAATTGACTACCAGTACTATATACACTAGGAAAATGTAATTCTTTTACTATATATATTCAAACCAATGGTATAATTTGTAAAGGAAAAAAATAATGTTTGATTTTAAGATTTTTTTTGGTTAAAGTTTTCACAACTGCATTTAATAGAGTGACATTATTAATTAGGGAATGACCTGCAGCAGACCCCCATTAGTTATGAGAATGTTCTCTGCTTGAAGCTCCACAGATGCACTGTCAAATTTAAGTTCTCCACCTGTTTAAAAATAATAATTTGTTTGAGTGGATCAAATAATAATAATAATAATAATAATAGTAATGGATCTTATATAGCGCGGTACCCCAGGATAGGGCTGGGCTCACCGCACTGTACATAAAAATTTTATCAAAAGAGGCATAATCATGACATTAAAATAAAATACATAATTTATGAAATAAAGAACAACAATGTATATTCACCCACCCCACCACATAACTTTTACAAGGCAAACCATGGACGGCAGCCAGCAAGATCGTTTATCAGTCAGAGGAGGGGAATCACTCAGGGTAGTATAATTTAAAAAGATGTGTTTTGAGTGCAGTTTTGAAGGCCTGGGTGGTTAGTATGTTGCATATGTGTAGTGGCAAAGAATTCCATTGTTTGGGGGTGCAGAAAGAGAAAGATCGTTCACCATATGTTTTAGTGTGTGTCTTGGGAACAGACAGAATATGCGTGTCTGCAGAGTAGCGAAGCTGTCGAAGCGGTGAATAGACAGAAAGTAGTTCGGTTAGATAGGAAGGGCAGGAATCCAAGAAAAAGTTGTGACAGAGAACAGACAACTTGTAGTCAATGCATGCCTGTATAGGTAGCCAATGAAGGGAATGGAGTAGTGGAGTGACGTGATCATGTTTTTTTGCCTTTAAAACTAGCCTAGCAGCTGAGTTTTGAACTTTCTGCAGTTTTTCTATGCAGTGTTTTGGTGAACCTGACAGAAGAGAGTTGCAATAGTCAAGACGAGAGTGAACAAGAGCACAGACTAGAGTTTTTTTTAGTGCTAACTGTGAGGTAGTGGCGTATGGAGCTGATCTGACAGATAGTGGTGTATGCTGAACGACAAATCTAGCCAACAACATGCCTACAATAATCAAAAACTCACTATACAGACCAACAATGACCTATTCAAAATCATTTTTAATTTATTAACCTTGGATCAGAACCATCTTAAGAACTGGAGTATTTGTATCAAGTAATATAGTCTTGCCAGCTGGTATTACGACAAAATCTCCTTCTAAGGGAGGTGGCCCTCCCCCCCATGTGTATCGATTGGACCATAGATCAATGTACTCAAACTTAGCATTGACCTGTGAATGACAAAAGGTAAACTATTTAAATAAAGTTGATTTAATTTGTGTTGAACATAAATGTTTTTTATTGACAAAATTAAATTTTAAAACCAATGTTAATCAAATAACCCTCAGAATGAATTAACCCAAAACAAATTATCTTGGAATAGAATATGAAATTGGTATTTACTAAGTTATGATATAATTAATTAAAAAAAATAAATATCACTAAAATTATTAAAATCTCATCTGATTGTGGCCAAAATTTAAGTGTGTGCACAAAATCAATTTAATTGGGGCAGAACATATAGTAATAATTTTAGCTGGAGTCTCACCTGTTTAGCCAGACCCCATTTATTACGTTCCACTTCCACATTAGCAACTGCTGATTTAGCAGGTACAGTTTTGCAGGTAATTTGATTATTGCTGACAGTTTGCACAGTGCATTGATAATTGGCAATTTTGACAGTAATGTCTGTTTTTGATGTACTGTAAATTGTTGAAAAAAAAAATTTACTTTGAAAATTTTAAAAATTCAAATACATCGGTAGGAAAAAAACTGTTTGTACTACATTAGTGTACTGAAAAGATAATCTCTCAATAATAAAGCTCAAACCTGTTTTAAATGTTTTACTTTCCATGGTCTATCAGTACAATAAGCTTTTAAATCAGACACAACTTAAAATTACCAAAGATATTTATCATTAAGCTTATGATAGTAGTTTGGTTTAGCATTTCCACTTAAATGGTTAGTAACTCTCCTCCACAGCTCTGACAGAGCTAAAGAATTTGAAATCCTTAAAGCAGATCCAAAACTATAGAGGTGTAAAATTTATGCAAATATTTTTGTTCTTTTTTCTCTGGTTTTTATATTTTTACACACCCAAAATTGGTTCCAGATATGGTCAGTAATGTGCCGCCACCTGTTCCACCTCGAGCAGGATTTACAGATGTCACAGTTGACTCCATATTTTTGTCATATGTGTAAGCTCCCCTTAATGTTTTGGATATACCTTCTACAGTAGCAGTGACATCACAGACAGTAGCTATAAACAATAAATAAATTGTAAAAAAATATCTAAAAACATTAAAATATATGAATATGATTTTTTAAAGTAATTTTTTGGTTCCCACTGTAGCAAGTAAAACATAGAAATCTTATTTCCTTATAATTTCTTTTTGGATTTATTTAATGAATTTGACATACAGGGCTTGTGTTGAAAAGGACTGTTCACGAATATCATGTACAAAGAAAACGTAAATGTTTGCACTTCTTATTAGTTAGTGTCTTGTTTCAATAAACTACCTGAATTATTTGAAGTCCTGCAGATATACTCAGATGTTGAAACACTAACTTCTGTGCAAGCTGCATTACAAATTCTAATCCTTGTTTTGTTTTTTAGGAACCCTGATCCCTTCAATGTTACTATTTGTCCACCATTAGATGTTCCTATAGGGTTGGCATAGAGAAATAAAATTGTAAACATTTCTAAATGTTCAATGTCAGTTATAAAATAAATTTTTAATATTCATTTAGACAGTTAACCAACTAAAGAAAAATTGTCTTATGCTAAAAATAAAAATAATTTGCATGTCCAAAACATACAAATTATTTGATGTTTAAGTAAAAAAAAAGTATAGAGCCAGCTTTGATTAAACCAACTATATTAATTATTAATAATTACTAACCTTTGTTAGGGTTTATAGTAAAGTCACCAAGTTGGTAGGTAAACATGATGTCGTGATTAGAGAACCCCAATTGTTCAACAAACACTTCAACAGGAAACTGACCAGTTGTTTGTGACCCAGCTGTACAAGTGATGGATGTTGCTGTTGCAGATTTAACAGCACATTCAACACCCCCAATCTGGAGTTAAATATTATTATAGGCGCACATTACATTCATATCAGTGGAAGACTATTTCATGAAATAGGAAAAGAAAATATTTTTCTCAAATTCTGCAATTACCTTGACTTTTGGTGTACTGCCAGCAGGAGATATGAAAATACTTCCACCAACTGTGATGGAATCTTTGCTTCTTCCTTCTTTTGGTGTGACATGCGTCACTTTGGGAGTAGCATCATCACCATATTTTAGAGACAAGGTATTATACATTATTTTGTTTGCCTGGACATAGAATAGCACAATCCCTGGAGCATGAGGTGGCACGGTACAGCTGATCTGATGAAGATAGATTTATGATCACTGTATAAGTGAGGACTTGCTTAATTTGTCAAGGTAGTTAAGTTGTTTTTCTTTTGATAGAAATTATAATAATAATTTGAAATATTTATGAAATGGAAAAGAACATAGAATGCAGATTTATTGCTTTTTAATAGGCTTCCTTAGTAATGAGCATATTTAATTGAGAGTCCATATAGGATGGGGATTTAGGAGATAGCATCATAAGATATATTAGGATTTTTTAATTAATCAAGAGCTTTTTTCTTTTCCTTTATATAAAGATAATGATTAATATCTAGTATATTTCATTTTAAGCATATTTTCCCTTTGACATGGTCACAAATCATGTCCCAATTTCATTTTCAGATCACACTCATATTTTCTTAATGTTACTTAAAACATCTAATATTCATTTGAGTGTTATTTTCAGGCAACGTCTCCTGCTGAAACTTTATATTCTAACAAGGGACAAATGCAAGAAATGCTTGAGCATCCTCAAGTGTGTTATTATTATTATTGGGATTATGCCAGGAAATGAATGAATATAACATTATATTAACAGTCATTTATCAAAATAATTTTTATTCTGTAGCCGAGTGGTGACGTAGTTTACAGTTTAAATAAAATCACAATAAAACAATCAGGTCTGAGAACTATAGCTTTTTAATGTAAGGTACAATCCGTTGACAGAGCCAAACGGAAAATCTCTCACACCTGCCGCCGACCCGACGCATCCGTTCCACACCCCCATCACAACAATGTACACACCCCCCGTCCCCGTTCGCCCCCCCCCCCCCCCCCC